GGGGAGGGGGCAGGTGAGCAGTGGTGATATGTGTGTTTCAGGCAGAGGAGACGGGAGAGTGGAGAGAGTGGGGACTCCCGTTAGTCCTGTGAAATGCAGGAAGGGGCGCAGCTAGAGAAGAGAGTCAGAAGCAGGCAGGGGTCAGATCACAGAGGTAGGAGTTTGGCTGGAAGAACCTACTATAGGCTTGCCAATAGTGGGTTAGCATTGTTTCTTACCTGCCATTCTGGGGACTTCCTCCACCTGCTGAATAGAGACTGGATTGGAGGGGACAAGGCAGGAGATGAGGAGACCAGGTAGGGGCTCATGCAGTTACCCAGGAGCATGAGGACGTGGTCGGGGTTGGGGAGGTGGCAGGAGAGTGGAGAGGCGAGAATTTCCGCCTTCTCATTCCTCCCGCCTCTAATCGCCCACCTCCACCTCTTCACCAGGCCGAATCCTGTCAACTGCTTGTTTCCAGATGGCTTATTTTCACGCCTTCCTAAGTCCCATAAATACTTGTTGATTCATCTGGTTTACTGACAGTCACCTTGTTTGTGGTGGGGCTGGGAGAGAAGCACGTGATGCTACTTGTTTGGGTTGCCACCTTTGTTCCTCTTACTAAAAGGGAATGGGCGAGAGGGGAATCGTAACCCAGAGACACAGCCATTGGCTGTGCATTTTAGTGCCGTGCGCTTCCCCAGGAGCCCTGGAGAGCTGATCCTAGAGTAACTCACAGACTTAGCCACTTGACAGCAGGGCCATGCCTTCCTCCATCCTTTTAGCCCCAGCACCCCGCAGAGCCTGGACCATGGCAGATGCTCAATTTGTGAACCAAGCAACTGAGGCTCAGCTTAGGAGCTGCTGGCAAACAGAAGCGTCCACGACGAGCACCTTTTGAGCACCTGTTCTCTGCTCAGCCCATGAGTGGTGCTGCGGAGATGAGCTGGCGTGAGCTCCCAGCAGGGCAGAGTGAAGCGTGATCTCTTCTGCTTTTAAATATCCTCCTCTGGTGAAGCTCATGAGCTCTAGTCTTACTCGCCGCTATTTCATCTTTAAAGGCAAAGTTAGGTTTTTCATGTCCATTGTTTGGCCTCTGGGCTGCTTTGGTTGGCAGCTCAGAGAGCCAGTGAAGCTTGGGTGTCAGACACCCTGGGTTTGAATTCCTGCGCTCCCCAACGTACTAGCTGTGTGACTTTGGAGAATGACTTTGCTTCTCTGAGCTTCCGTTTTCTGGTCTGTAAAATGTAATATCTACCTCATGGGTTTATGAAAATGAAATGAAATTATGAATGTAAGACACTTTAATTCTTGGTACATAGCAGGTATTCAGTAAACAATGGTATTTATGCAAAGACACACTGCTGAAAACTGTTTCAGGAGGAATACTCTGTGGACTGAAAGTAAGGAAGAAAATTAGAAGGGGAGGCATGCTCAGAATCTTCAATGACCGGCCAGATGGCACAATGAAAAACTTCTCTCTCTCTCTTTTTTTTTTTTTCAGAAAACTTATTTCATGTTCAAAATAGGGAGTTTGGAACACAGAAATATGAACAGTGGATTATTGCTGTTCAGAAAGTGTGCATGTTGTTTCAGATGCCAGACAAAGATGAAGAGAGCAGGATTTGTCAAGCACTGTTTCTGTACACATCACATTTGCGGGTATGTGGCTTCTTTGGGAAAGTGTGTTTTAGTTGTAGCACCTACTGAGAGTTGCATGGGCTGTGTGAGCTGAGAGAGCATCGATTTTTCATCCTGTTCCCAAGAGCTCACTTAGGAGCTTTCTGGGAGGTTCTTATGAAGCAAACTCCAGAAGTTATCCCACTCAGCATCTTTGTTCGCTCTTTGAAACTTAGCACTAGAGGCAACGGGACAGAAGCAGAGGCAGACATTCTGTGCCGTGCCTCAGCATTCCCATAATTGACATAATTGAAAAAAATTGGGATGTGATGACCATTATTATAGATACGTGACCAGTGATAGCCATCTTTAAAGCTCAGTAAGTGGATCCTGTTGCTGTTTCCTGAAATGCATGTTTTCCTTCCTCCGGTGAAGCCGCATGATGGGAAATCCAGGGTCTCTGGTTGTTTTCTGGTTAACCAACGAGTTAAGCAATAACAACCACCATCATTTCTGCTTATGCCACTGAAAATATTTTAAAATGCACTCAATCAGTGTGCAGTTGTGGAATTTTAACAGACTTAATTGAAAATGTGGTGTAAGTGGTCAGCCCTATCATTCTGAACAGGTGCATGCATGACAATTCAGTGATGGCTTTGGATGGGATGAAGAGATTAAGTTGAATGTCTGAGGCAGGTTGATGTGGAAGTTGATTTGCTGTCATTTTTTTTTTTAATGTTTGAATCTTTGACATGCGTTTGTCATGTAATTTTCTCTTTCTCTTCCAAGGTAGAATTCTAGAATCCAAAGTGATCCTAATTAATTAATGATTCTAGCTACTGAGGGTTTGTTTGTTTGTTTTTTTGCAGTATTTGTTTTTAAGGTTTTATTACAGTATTATTAGAAATCGTTTATCTTAGAAAACTAAGTTAGAATAGATTTGAGACAAGTTCATTCTTAAAATTAATTCCGTGTTAAGTACAGCGAATTGAATGTAAGTGTAGTGAATGCAGTAGACACTAGAAACATTGAAACAGTTTTCGTTTTCCACAGAGATACAATGATGCCCTCATTATCAGTGAACATGCACGCGTAAAAGATGCTCTAGATTACTTGAAAGACTTCTTCACAAATGTCCGAGCAGCAGGATTTGATGAGATCGAGCAAGATCTCACTCGGAGATTTGAAGGTGGGTGGTGTTTCTAGAGGAGGAAGCCATTGGTGCCTGAGAACACCAGCGGCCACTGCTCATGTATTACACCTAGCTTCACATGGTGATGCTCTGGGAGCTGTCTTGGGCTTAAGAAGATATTATACGTGGCAGGACTATTAAGCTTCAGGGAAATCTGGTACTTGTGAAAACAATCTGCCACTTACACTATTTCCTGTTTTGAAGAAGGAGTGGTAGGATTTGCAAGGGATACATCCCACAGAAACAGTCAGTTGATAATAACATTTTTTGGTATAACTTTTAGTAATTTCATAAAAATTTTTTAAAGTATTTTAATGACATTAAAAGCTATAATTTATATATACTTCTATACAGAGAAGAAAACCAAAATGGCTCATAATCCCATTGCCCTCATATTAAGAAAAATATAGGAAGATATTAAATGAAAAGTAAGTCTTTTTTCTCCCTCTCTCAAATGCCTTTTCCCAAAGGTAATTAGTGTTAATAATTTTTCTGGGGACTATACCAAAGTATTTACTTATACATATGTGTGCTGCTAAACATTGAACAACCAGCTCTCAGGGGGAAAAAAATGTATGCATTTATCGGTATATTGAATGTATGCATTAAATCAGTGGTTATTCCTCATAAAATTCTGGACAGAGATTGAGAAACTCTTTGAACTATAGCTATAGGTCCCAGTGTGTTCTAAATTTCTTGAATTTATAAACCTTTTGCGAAATGTTCCCCATTTGCAGAAAAGCTGCAGGAACTAGAAAGTATTTCGATGGATCCCAGCAACGAGAACCCTAAACTCGAAGACCTCTGCTTCATCTTGAAAGAGGAGTACCACATAAATCCAGAGACCAGAACCATCCTCTTTGTGAAAACCAGGGCTCTTGTGGATGTAAGCTTCTACCTCCTGTGGATAACAAATTGGCCTAGTACCATTTTATTAAAAAGACAGTCCTTTCCTCACTGCTTTGCAATCAAGCATCCATATATGTGTGGGTCTGTTTCTGGGCTCTTTATTCCATTCTGAGTTCCTTTTTTTTTTTCCTTACGCTAGTACCTCACTGTCTCAGTCACTCTGGTTTATAATGGTTGATACTTGTAGAGCAAGTATTTCATACTTTTTTATTCTTTTTGTCAATTTAAAAAATTTTAGCCATTCTGTGGACACCTAGTGCTACCTCATGAGGGTTTTAATTTGCATTTTACCAATGATTAATACAATTGAGCATTTGTTCATATATTTATTATGTCATCCATATATCTTCTTTGGTGAAGTGTCTGTTCACATCTTTTGCCCTAGTTTTACATTTTACATTTCAGTCTACAATCCATTTTGAGGTATGGGTTGAGATTTTTTTTCTTTTTGTATGTGGACATCCAATTGTTTCAGCATGTTTGTTGAAAAGACTATTCTTTCTCCATTGAATTGCCTTTGTAACTTTTTCAAAACTCAGGTGGCTGTATTTATGTGGATATATTTCTGGATCCTCTGTTCTGTTCCATTCATGTGTACATCTATCTTTTCACCCATCCTACAGTCTTGATTACTGTAGCTTCATAGTGAGTGTTGAAATCAGGTACTGTGAGTCCTCCAAGTTTCTTCTTTTTTCAAAATTGCTTTCACTATCTTTCTTTGCCTTTCCATCTTTATTTTAGAATCAGCTCATCCACATCTATGAAAAAGTCTGCTGGAATTTCATTTGGGATTGCACTGAATCTATAGATAAAATTGGGGAGAAATGACGTCTTAACAATATTGAATCTTCAAATGCACGACCATAATATATCTCTTCATTTATATAGGGCTTCTGTATTAGTTACCTACTGCTGATAACAAATTACCCCAAAACTTAGTAGCTGGAAACAAAAGACATCTATTATCTTACAGTATCTATGGGCCAGGAATCTGAAAACAACTTAACTGGGTGTTTCTGTCTCAGGGTGTCTCATGAGGCTGCATTCAAGGTGTTGGCCACGGCTGCGGTCAGCTCAGGGCTTGACTTACATGGCTTTTGGCCGGCCGCAGAAGATGTGCTTGGCTCACTCACAGGGGCCTCTCCACAGGCCGGCCTCACAGCCTGGTGGCTGGCTTTCCTAAAGTGAGTGATCCAAGAGTGGTTGAGAGAAAGTGCCTGATATGGAGGTCATGGTCGTCTTATAACTTCATCTATGAATTGATATCCCCTCACACCTGCCATATTTTATTCATGAGAAGCAAGTCAGTAAGTTTAGTTCACACTTGAGGGGAGGGGATTACACAAGGATCTGAATACCAGGGAGTGGAGATCACTGAGGGCTACCTGAGAGGCCACCAGCCACATCTTTGGGTTCTTTTGTCAGTGTTTTATCGTTTTCAGTGTACAGATTCTGCACTATTTTGTTAGACTTATAACCC